AATCTCCCTTATATGTGGAATCTAAGCCTCCTCAAACCCCTACTAAAATCATAGAAAAAAGAGATCAGATTTGTGGTTATCAGAGGCGGGTGGTTGTGGGAAGGAAACTTGAGGAAGGTGGTCAAAAGATACAAACTTCCAGTTGTGACACAAATAAGTATTGGGATGTAATACACAACATGGTGAGTGTAATTAACACTGCTCTATGATGTACAAGACAGTTGATAAGAGAGTAGATCCTAAGAATGCTCATCACAAGAAGAAAAAAATTTCCTTTTCCTTTTATGGTGCCTATGAGATGATGAATGTTAACAAAACCTTTTGTGGTAGTCATTTTACAATATATGTAAATCAAACCATCAAGCTGGACACTTTAAACCTATACAGTGAGGCTTGTCAATTATTTCTCAATAAAACTGAAAAAAATGTGAAAAAAGAGCAATTTGCAAAACCAACACAAATAAAAAAGAAGATGAGAGATGAGTTTTTTTGAGGATATGAAGAAAGGGAACCTTTGTACACTATTGGTGGAAATGTACATTGTTACAGTTTTTATGGAAAACAGTATGGATATTTCTTTAAAAATTACAAATAGAACTACCCTATGATCCAGCCATCCATTTTCTGGGTATATAATAAACAGAAATGAAATCGCTACCTTAAAGAGATATCTGCGCCCCCATGTTCACTGTAGCATTATTTACGATAGCCAAGACATGGAAACAAACCTCAGTGTCCACTGAAGAACGGATAAAAAAATGAGAGCTGGCGTGATAAGTGTGTATACGTAAACATACACACACACTGAAATACTACTCAGCCATAACAAAAGAAAGAAGTCCTGCCACTTGCAACAACATGTATGAGCCTTGAGGACATTATTCTAAGGGAAATACATCAGACAAAGACAAATACTGCGTGATCTCATTTATAGGTGGGATCTAAAAAGAACCAAACTCAGAAACAGAGAGCAGGCGAGTGGTTGCCAGGAGCAAGCTGGCAAAGTAAGAAAAGGGGGAAGGTAGACAAAGGGTCACAAACTCTGAGTTATAGGGATGAGTTCTGGTGATGTAATGTACAGCATGGTGACTACAGTTGACAATACTGCAGCGATTTTCAACCTTTTTCAGCTCGTGGCACACTAAGCTAACTAATGAAATTCTGTGGTACACCAAAAAATATATTTTTTGCTGAGCTGACCAAAAAAAAAAGAGGTATAATTTTGACTCATTCACACTGGACGGCTATTGTTGTGTTGGCTGTTGTCATTTTTTATTTAATAATCTAAGGGAAAAGAGGTCAGTGCCTTTGACTAAATAGTCAGGTATTGAATGTTTAAAAATTCTTGTGGCACGTTGGTTGAAATTCACTGCTCTATTGTATATTTGAAAGTTGCTAAGAGAACTGCTAAAAAAGAAACAACAGGCCCAAAATAATAGAAGCACATGTGCTAAGCCCCACATCAGAAACCAAGACTTGCAGTTTCTGGCAGGTTGTTAACTACTGGATAGTTTATAAAGTAATATGTGGAGTATCTTTTTTATGTTTTTAAAAAATTAGTTGTTGAAACTTTTAGCATATTACAGTTAACATTCTTCTGTAATATACATAGTGTACATAATGGTTTCTTTTAACACCACACTGTCCCCAAGAGGGAGGTGGTAAAATAAGACTGCCACTTTTCCTATTTGGGACGATGCTCAGCACAGAGAACTTCACAGTCAGAAGATAGAGGTTCCTGTCTGAATTCTGACTCATTAACCATAGCTTCAGACAAATCATTATCTTTTAGGATCCTAGCTTCTTCATTTGTAAAATAATGATGCAGGGAAGGTGACTTCAAAAGCTCCTTCACGTCCCTTAATCATATAATACCATCATATAATTCATTTCCTGAATTTAAAAAAGCCATGCAAAGAAGGAATCACTCTCATGCACAAGTGCAAAGTAAATTAAGTATAAATTGATTCAGCTTTTTGGTTGTGGTAGGGCAGCATTGAAATGTGCACACCCTTTGATCCGGCAATTCCATTTCAAGGACCCTGACTTACTGCAATACTCTCACGCAAGCATGAGAAGTGTGTGTGAAGATAATTACTATAATACTGTTGGTAGCATAAAGGACTGGAGGAAACCTAAATATCCATAAGCAGGATAGGAATGGCCACGTTATCCATACTCTAGAATACTATTGAGTATAATTTCATAAAAATTATTCATTATACTGTTTCTGAAAAAGACTAAGTTAAAAAATTATATATTGTAGATTCATTCAATTTTTGTTAAAATAAAGTTTTATATTTTCAATATATATTTTTAAAATATACATGTATTCATATATATGCACATATACTTATATACTTACATAAATGTGTATGTGTTTATATGTGTATATGTACTTATATGTGTATACATACTTTCATAAGTGTGTATATATATAAGTCTGTGTGTGTTGTGTGTATATGTCAAGGAGTGCTTAATCCAATTTAAATTTGTATTCTACATAGTTTATTAAACTAATACCTACTGGCTTAATGAATAATCACTTTTTGAGGATTAAATTGTAGCCCAGCATACAGTATTAAAGTTATTTATGTATTTATTCTTTATTTCAACCTCTATATGTTCTTTTTGTAATTTATGTACATGAGGTTAACCAAAAATTATACATCTAAAATGAACCCTTCTATTTAAATAGTACCTTTTTCTAGTTAATGAACCCTTAAGATGTTGATTCATTCTTTTCCAAACTATGCCGCATAAAAATCCCTTTTAAAAATTATGCATTGGCCTGGCCAGTGTGGCTCAGGTGGTGGGGCTCTGTCCTGTGCACCGCAAGGCTGCCTGTCTGAGTCCCCGTAGGGCACATGCCCCTGTGGTGGGCTTGATCCCCGTGGGGGAAATGCAGGAGGCAGCCAATCGATGTACTCTGGCATTGATGTTTCTCTCCCTCCCTCTCTTTTCCTCTCTCTCTAAAAAATAAATTTAAAAAATCTTAAAAAGAAGCAATGCATTTTAGGTGCCTGAGTAGAGCAAATACAGAAAGCGAAAGTGCCGTACAGAATGCGAACAGTAGGCGGTGCACACCTGCTCGTCTTAAACCAGCTTGCTGTTTGAAGGAAAAACCAAATACACATGCAAAATCCCTCTAAATCGTGAAGAGTGTAACAAATGAGTAAGAAATAACCAAAGAAACCAATAAGCCAAGTCCAATTTCCCATAAGTGATCCTCTATTGCTTTGGGCTTGGGTTTCAGAATGAAGCAAAAAATAAAAATAAAAAAATTTTAAAACCCCCAAAGTATCAAAGTTTTCAGCAGGATACTATAAACACTAATAAAAGAATGCTTGTCAGAGGCCAGTTCAGTGTCACCGAAGAGGAATGAGCTGTGCGTGGCGCATGGCGAGACCCAGGTGAGTATGACAAGATGATCACGCATAAGACGGATGGCACTGGGGAAAGATGAGAAGGGACAGAACCCAAACAGGGCTGACGTGTTTTCCAGTCTGTAGGTCACCGCGACTGGGGCCCTGCATGTGACACGGGGCCTCTGCTTTCTCACTGACGCTTCCCTCTTCAACCCCAAACTGCTTCTTCAAGCGAAGGAAATACAGAAGCGGTTTCGAACACGGCTGAAATCTTAATGACATTAGTATACATTCCTTTTTAGATTTTGCTTCTGGGGCTCACTCCATAATTCCAAAAACAAATTCTCTGAAGATGGAGTCAACAGTTATTCTTTCAATACATCATGTTCAGCCATGAACTCATGAGTTTGGATTTTATTAAAAATCTCTCCTTCTCATAAGCTGTCTCATTCATTTACAGTCAAATATCCTTTTTATATTTTTCAAAATATATTTTTAAAACTATGAGTTAATCAACTGTATACTAATAATTGTAATGACCACTCAATCCAGGAAAAAAAAATTAACAGTAGAGCCTAGGGTCACAGGAAATTTTAGAAGTTAAATAATTAATTTATGTACATTTTTGTTGCAGAAATATGTTTAGGTTAGCAACAAAGAGATAATTAGTTCAAATATAAAAGTATATTGAATTTTGATGAAACTTTGCAGGTTAATCAGGATATAAATGCAAGTTCAAGTAGAAAAAAGAATTGTGTATAATTTCCAACTACTCATGAAAGTTTGTGTATTTACGATTTATGAAGTTGGTATCAAGAAACTATGATATTTGGATTCCAGTAGATATATTTAAAATAGTTACAATAGTGAAATGCCAACATCTGCAATATGTTAGAAATTACAGCCTTTGCAACTATTTAATTTTATGATGAAACTTTAAAATGTGTGAGTGGGTATATGGTTTTCCAAATGCTTTAGATTTCTGTAGACTATTGCTTTGCACTATAACAAGTTTATAGAAGACAAATGGGTTGTCTACTCTATGCCCTAAAGTGAATTCTTTCCATCAGTAGTAATCTCTTCAGATCACAGAAACATAGTCCATAATGCTAAAATCCTCTGCAATCATAGCTTCCAAGAAAAAAATTTATGTTTAAAATATTTCTGACTTAGAGATTGCAAATAACAGCTAAGAGCTTCAAAAAATGTACTCATTCTGGTAAAAAGGTGCAAAAAGCTGATTTTTAAGTGCATGCATCGTTAGAATTATTGGTAGAGCTCCCTTTTTTGCTAACATGGTTTTGCAAAACGTTTCCCATGATCACCCGATATATGCTGTGGGAATGAACACTCCTTTTAATATGGATCTCTGCAAATTAAAAAGTAGGTAGAAGAGTCTAGTTCATAAATAATTTACACACTATTTCTAAGCCAAATTTTAATTATTTGGCATTACATATCCATGTGGTTGGTCCCTGCTTTGCTTCCTCCTTTGATAGTGATAATTTAGTGTTTAAGTGGCTAATTTATAAACCCATTACTAATTCACCCTAAAAACTTCATGTAAGAACTTGGGAATATTTTAATTTGGTCACCAGCCACATGAGAAATTTGCTGAAGAATTGTACTTACCCTCTGTTACATTTTGCTATTTCATCAAACAGAAGCTTCCATCGAGGACGTCCGATGTAAAGTCTTGAATTCAGTGCTTGATATTTTTCTCCAATTATTTTCTGCCACAAAGAAAGCATCATATTTTATGTGACACAGAGCTGGCAAATTACCCATTTCTCTAACATCATGTCTACTGGTGCTGTGGCTTCCTACCAAATTGCTGTGATATAAAGAATATAAGTAGCAAATGGCAACCTATTAAGTACAGTCAGTTAGAACATCATTTCCGCCCTCTTTCCCTTTAAAACTCATTCTCTTCTTGAATGCCATTATTTCAAATGGCTGATTTGTTTCATTTTTAAACAACTGCAAGGTTGAAGAATGCATTCTAATTGCCTACTCTCAAAAAAGGCCTCAGCACATAAATTTTATTGAATTGTTTTTGCACTGCAAATACAGTTGTCATATTTGGCACATTAGATGGGTAAAATACTACAAACTATAGTCATAAATTTGGGGAAATGATCTTAGACAAGACAGCCTAAGACAGAAGAGCTCCAAATCTCTGGACTATCAACCAACAACTCAAATGAACTGGTGTCTGCAATGAACAGAATATGAGCACTGAGGAATCAGCGTGAAGTGAGAAGAGAGCAGAAAGTATCTGGGTCTCAGCAAACTGACAACCAAGTGCAGCTTACGCCCTGTACCTTAATCACAGCAATACCATGAGGATAATGGTACCGACGTGCTTCATAGGAGTGGTAAAATAAAATATTTTTACATACCAAGTAAGAACTCTGACTAGAATAAATAGGGTTAGATTTGTTTGGAGGTAACGGACAAGCATTCATATTTCCTATTCAAAGTATTTCAGGAAATGTATGATAGAAAATATAAAATAAAACTTGCAAAAGCATTCATGCCCAGATTTATACACTTAACGCAGCTGCTCCCTACTGTCTGTAAACATCAGTTTCTTCATCAACAACATGGGGATAGCTATATCGTCTACCTCTTGAATCTGTTGGAATTATATGATGAGGTGTGTAGTTGCTTAGCACAGTGTCTAGCACAGTGGATAAATAATGCGTGATAGCTATTGCTGTTCTTTTTAGTTTCCCTTGAAGGGAAATAAACTTAATTATGTATGACCTTATTTTTTCTTTCCATATAAAACCTCCTCTCGATGAACACAGTCACAAGAGTGTTCAGTTATGTTCTGACCTCTGCAGGTAAAGAACTTGGGCAACAGTGAAGAGGAGAGAGCTGAACTCAGAAGGTCTGCTCCAGCTCCCTCTGAGGAAGACAAACACAAAAACAAACACAAGCGGCCTACTATGGTCAACGTCAGGACGAGCCATGAGGTTTCTGGACACGTTCCAAGAGGCCTTCCTGTGGGAAACCTGTTCAAACCACCTGCAGAAGTTTCCTTCAAGCACAGCCCCTACAGTAAATCTCCTATGATCAAGAGACTTGTTCATTTACAGGAGCATCCAGCCACATACCTGTATCCCATCTGTTTGACTGAGGTACAGCTGCATGTTGACATAGTCAGGTCTGTTCTCTTGCCAAAACTGAGAGGACATAAAAGTAAACAGACATTAAAATTACTTCTGTATACTCAGGCTTCCTCCTATTCTAACACATGTGATTCTGGAATTTTTTAACATGTATCTTGTCTAATCACAGCCAATATCTACAAGCAAATCTCTCTATATATATAGTGTCCCCCCCAAAAATGCATACAGTTCAAGAAAGAGTAAAAGAAAATTGGGAAATAAGCAAGGGGAGAATTAGGAAATCCCAGAAGTAATACAAGTGGCCAATAACCATCTCAATAGCATTGAGGGGCACATACAATGAGATCCCACTGTTTAAGAGACTTGTAGAAATGTAAAAGATTGGTAATATAATGTTTTGGAATAAATTTCTCTCATATTCTCTGATGCAAATGTAAATGGTTTTAGTGTCATCTGGGGGAGTTTTGTCAGTATAATTTAAAATTTTAAATTCATTCACAACCCCCAACTCAGAAAGTCCAGTCTCTGAGACCAACCCAGAAAAAATACTCCTGAATTGGAGAGCGGTGATTTTGCTCTTCTTGACACACTTCCTCCCTGAGCCTCAAAGACAGAACTCCTTTTTTGTTTTGCTACTACCTCACTGGCCACTCTGACCAGTCTCCTTTGTCAGCCGTTACTCACCTTTTATTCCTCTAGAAACTGCAGTATCCTGGGGACTGGTGTTTTCACACACATTCCCAAGATGTCTCAGAATTTTATGCCTTTTAAGGCTGAGTAATATTCCATTATATGCATATGCCAGACTTTCTTTAACCGTTCATCCATCGATAGGCATTTCAGTTGCTTCCATCGTTTGGCCATTGTGAATAATGCTGCTATGACCACTGGTGTACAAATATCTGTTCAAGTCACTGCTTTCAATTATTATGGGTATATTTCCAGAACTCATCTCTTTCTTTTTTGCATAAAATCCAAAGGCCATATGTAATCTGCCCTTCTCTCCAAAAAACACACACATGGCCTCTCTGATTGCTTTTCCTACTACGATTTTCCCTTTGCTTCCTCTCCCCTGCCCACACACCCTCTTTCATCTTCCTCCAATCGAATACTATTGCATCAGAGTGCTTGCCTGTGAAGTTGGGGCCAGCTGCCTTAAAAACTTTCCCCAAGATACATGCCTTGTCTGTTCATTCTCTTTACTCAAGTCTCTGCTCAAATACCATTTTTTGATGGGCATTTTTGAATACTCATTAGACATTAATATGCCCTCTACTGTTCACCCTTTGTTGCTTTACCCACTTCCCTTTTCTTCTTTGTCCTAATCTAAATCGGACATCCCATTTATCGGTTTATAGTCTATCCTCTCCCCTTAGAGTGTAAATCATGAGATCAGAAACTTGTTTTTATTTTGATCTCCAGTGTAGCTCCAGGTCCTAGAACAGTTTTTCATTCATAGTGGGAAGTTCGTAAATAAATACAGAATGACTGACTGGATGAGTGAATATCTACACAAAACGGCATGTATGATATTCATTGCTTTGCTCTTTGTAATAAAAAATGTAAATATTCATCATGAGCGAATGGTTAAATGAAGCAGATCCATTCATACTATGACATACTCTATAGCAGTAAGAAGAATGAGGTAACTCTTTATGTACTATTACTAAAAATGTTTAAGACATAGTCATAAGTTTAAGAAAGCAACTTTCAGAACAACGCAAATAGTATGGTAGGATCTATAAACATTCTCAAGTTACCTCCTGTTACATAGGTTGGGTGGGGAAATAGTAAGGGAAGGCTTTGCTTTATCTGAATCATTTGAAAAATTTGCACCAAAGATGCAAAAAAGATGTGTATTACTTTTATAACTTGAAAAAATAAAGATAGATATATTAATAGGTCAATAAAAGGTTATATGTAGGATAGATGAAGATGCCTGCTTTCATCTTTGTAAGAAATAAAACTTAGAATCTGGGATTTCTGAAATTCTGCATAGTGTGCCAAAGGTCTGGTGATGGTCCATTTGGAAGATTAAAAGTGGAGATAAGAGGTAACAGCTGTTAGAGCAAAAGATGGGAAATGCAGTAGCTATTGTCTGCTGATGTCTCCCTCTATTTGCCTTCCTTCACCACCCCATATGCATATGTGCACCCATTACTAGCACATGCATGCATTTGTGTTAAAATATTCTATGTAAGAACATAGCATCAGCATTTCTATGTTAAATCATATCACAGATATATATACATAATCACAGATATCAGTATCTAAAAAGATATGTGCCAATTAACAAATGTTATCTGTTGTTTTTATTTAAAGAATTTTCTCTTCTTACTACTTATCTGAATATTTTTTGGATTTTTTTCTACAGCAAGCATTTAGTACTTTAGTAACTTGAAAGGAAATAACTATGTTTTTAAATTTAAAAATTGCAAAAGTAGAAACAAACCTAATTTTACCTTATTATACAACACACAGAGTAAATCTGCAAACCAACGAAAGGACTGAATGTCTCTGCAGACCCAAATAAAATACAGTCTTCTAAGCTTGTATGGTTTCCAGTCATCCCTTTAAAATGAAAATAACAGCATAATGATTAGGATGGCAAAAAAAGTTAAGAATCCCTGCATCTTTGAAAATTTGCTTTTCATTAGTAAGCAACCAATGAAAAAACCAGTCATTTACATTCAAGCATCTGACGTAGCACTTACTATAACTCCCAAAGGAATTTGAAACGAATATACTGAGTCAGACACATGCTCTACTCCATGAATTCAGTGCTCATATTTGTGGATATTATACGCATATCACCCATCTCCAGTTGAAGGTAATAAACTAAACTCCTGGATCAGAATAATCGCAGCCCTGCAACTCAGAAAAAAGTTCTCTGTTTTCAATGAATTCTATCACTCGGCAGGGCTCCAGTCGAGTCCTCATCATTCTTGCCCTGGCTTCCAGGCAAAGTGAGCCAAACCATTCCAGAAATTGGTTGTTTATCCCCTTCATAATATCATTAAAGAAGGAGATTTCACAACCACCTACTATGTAATGCATTCCAGTAACTCATGATTCCAAGTCTGGATTCCTATTTATAAGTAGGAAGTCGGCTTGAGGTTAAGAAAATATTCTTTCCTTCTCTTAACTTTAGGTGTCCAAATAACTTGTAATACGTTCTCAGAAACAAATGATTTCTGGCATGCAATATGGTTATTTTTCTAAAAACCTCCAAAAAGGCCCAACTTTATATCAAGTATTTAAAACTGAAATAAAATATCACTCAAACACATCACCTTATTGTTTCTCCTTTGGTACTCCATCAAACAGACTTTTAATGTGAATTGTGTTGTGTAAGTGAATGTGACAGATTGGAGAATAATTTCCTACTGTCATTTTGTTTGTGTTTTCATGATAATTAATCATTTAATTTTTGCTTATAATCCTAGGACAAAAATAACTGAAAAAGTATTTCCTGGTTAAGCTATCTTACCGCTGAAATTTCTAGTCTTCTGTCTGTTTTAAATTTGCTGAGTAATAGACCAAGAAATGATGGGCTCATTCTGTCATCTCCTCAGAAAAACTCTCCCTTCCTGGCCTGTGTGGCTCAGCGGTTGAGCATCCACCTAGGATCCGGGAGATAGTGGTTCGGTTCCCAGTCAGGGCACATGCCCAGCTTTCAGGTTTGATCCCCTGTGGGGGGGGTCCAGGGGGCAGCCGATCAATGACTCTCTCATCACTGATGTTTCTATCTCTCTCTCCCTCTCCCTTCCTCTCTCTGAAATCAATAAAGATATAGTAAAAAAAAAGAAAAAGAAAAGCTCTCCCTGACCACACGTTTACAATAGCCCTGGCCCTCTATTTCTATATCCCATGAATACCTCTTCTCATCATAGTTCTAATATTTTCCGAAGTAATGTTATTTCAGAATTTCTCACTGGTTTATTTTTACCTCCCCCATTTGAACTAAGCTTTCTAAGGGCAGGGGCTCAGTGTCATTCAGGGCTGTATTACCTGTAACTACCTAGAAGATAGATTGGCATATCAGTGCTCAAAAATATTTGTTGATGGATAGATAAATAGTGCCCTTAATACTGACAAGGCAGTAGAGAAATGAAGGCCAGTGGAGTAACTTTAATAGAGGGTAAGGACAGAGGAGCGCAGAGCTGTGGTGCTGACATATTTTCCAGGACAGCATGCTGAAAGCCAAAGCCACATGCTGAGAATCACTGAATTACTCCCTTCATCAATCAGTAAATGAAGTCCCGTCAATAGCAAGTACACGAATTCTGGACAGAGTTACTTCAGACTAAAAGAGAGATGTCTAAGATATCGGCAGTTCTTTATCTGGATTAATAAAAGGGATCAAAATGACATACAGCAGAGTGTTGAGTATTGACGCAAATGGAGTTACTCCGATGCCTCCGGCCACGCAGAGGCTAACCTCATAGTTCAGTGATTCCTCAAATGGACTTCCAAATGGACCATCAATATACAGCCTGTGGAGAGGAAGACAAAGGTGGGAGAGATGAAAATAAATTCCTTTTCTATAATTCGCAGCAAATATGCTAACCCCAGTTGCTAGGCTTTGTGATGGTCCAGGTCTTACTTTATTGTTTCTCATAGTGACAGGCCTAAAAAAACAAGGAATGTTGTTTATGGACTGTCAGTATTAAAATAATCCATCTGTTTCTAAGCATGCCTTTTTCGAGAGAAACATTAATTAAACATATAGGAAAATGTATATAGGACCATGAGAGATAGCTGACAAGTTAAAAGTCTGATTCTATTATATTACTATATTTGACTACATTAAAATACCAACTGCTTTACTGTGTCTATATCTAAGAATGTTCTTTTTAATGGCAAAGTCAGTAGCAGAAATACTTACGCAAACATTTATCATGTGAACAGAAAAGCACTAGGAAGAAAGAAAAGAAACTAATACAGCTTCTCCTCTTGCCCCAGTTAGGTTTTATTAGTGTAGAAAAGATGAAGAACAGTCTCAAAGGAATCTTTAATTACTCTACTTGTGATTAAATATTCAACTGTGTGTGTATGTGAGTGAATCCTTCTTAACCACAAAAATACTTGCCAATCGTTCAGTCAGTATTCATTCATCTTCCCGCTCTTTCCTAGCAACAAAACATTAACTCCATTCAGGGAAGCAAAGTACCTGACAAAACCCCACATTTCCCAGACTCCCTTACCTAGTTCGGCTGTGTGACTATGTTCTGTTAATGTGGTGTAAATGTAAGTGCAACTGGAAAAACTGGAAGGCTCCTTGAAAGAAGCTGTCTCCATTGAAGCTTGCATCTCTATATCCCTCCCCCTTTCTTCCTGGTGCCTAAAATATTGACTTAATGGTCTAAATACTTATCTTTGATGACTATAGAATTACCATACCCTTCTATGCCTATCTAGTTCCAGACACCTTTATGTCAATGAAAAAGAAACACTTATGTATATATGGCACTGCCATTTTAAAGCTTTTTTCTATTATTAAAAAACATAACTTTGCTCAAAAATAGTAACAATCCTAAAAAGTACATTTGTGTTGTCAGCCTTCTGATATCCATGTCTCTCATTGTTAGGAGGGATTGTAACAGATCGTTTAAGATTAGGCATCCGTGGGCTTACCGGGTAGGTGTTTGTTAACATTTGCTAAGTGAATTAATGAAAAGGTAGTCTTTTGACCTCTGAGGTCTATGGTATGTAGTCTGTGTTATATACTGCTAATCATGGCCAAAATCCGGCTTCCTTTCCTCCTGGGTGCCCAGTAGACAACACTTCCTGGGCTTTTTGTAGCTCTGCTGAGCCTCATGTCTAATTCTGACCACCTGGCCGTGAGGGGAAGCAGTATTTGTCACTGCTGGAACGAGGCAAGGAAAACTCTATCCCTCTCATGGGAACCGAGAGCCATGAGTTGAACCAGAAGACAAAGCCAACTAAATCCTTGACCTAACACTTAAAGGAAACTGTCCTAGAGGGTGACTGGACCCTCAGGAGACACTTCATGAGCAAGAAACAAATGTGTTTCATCAAACTTTCAGGAGGCTTTCCAGGTTAACTAGTTACTGCAGCAGAACTTACACCATCTTGACTACTACATGTTCAGTACATACTTAAATCCTGGAAACTTGCAAGAGTAGTGCTTTAAAAAAAAAATACTCTATCTATTAAAAAAGCTACTTATTGTAACTCAAGAAAAATAGTCAAAGTTTAAATGCTTAAGGTAGTATTCTAAACATAGCAGAAATTCAGAAAATACTGATAGATCACATACTCAGAATATGCTTAATTCTTATTAACCTACCTCACTCACACTCTAAAGCTTATTTACTCAACAAATAAAAATATATGTATAAGTTAATGATACAACATATTGAACTCTTGATAGAAATCTCAAAATATCAGTGGCTCAAAAGCAACATATGTAAATTGATTCTACCACTTTCCACCATGTAAACAAATTTAGAACATAAGCATTAAGCAACAAAATTGGGATTAAAAATAAGTACTTCCAATTGCAAAAATAAGATTATTATAAATCTCTACAACTATTTTGAATCCACTAGACTTATTGCAATCTTCTCTTAATTAGTCATTCATTCCTTCATCCAACAAATGGTTTTCTCTACTTGCAATGTACCTGACACTGTTCAAACTGTCTGGGATACAGAAGTGAACAAGGTAGAAAAAGTCCCTGACCTCATGGTTCTTTGATTCTAGTAGGAAAGGGGCTAGCCCATAAATAAAGATAAAAAAGATATATGATATAATGCCACATAATGATATATGCTTTTTAAAATAGGTAAAACAATAATTATTGAAGCACAGTGATTTAGTATATAAAAGTTCATTATACTATTCTGTTTACTTTTGTATACACTTGAAATTTTGCATAGGCTGTTTAAGGCATAGTTGGGGAAAGATCTCTCTGTGCACATGACATTAGAACAGAGATCTATATGAAGTGAAGTTACTAGATATAAAAGCATCTGGGAGTAGAATCTTTTCAGCAAGATATATAAGCACCACCCAGCCGGCCTGGCTCAACGGTTGAGCATGGACCTAGGATCCAGGAGATCAAGGTTCAATTCCCAGTCAGGGCACATGCCTGGGTTGGGGCCCAACCCCCAATAGAGGACCTGCAGGAGGCAGCTGATTAATGACTCTCTCATCATTGATGTTTCTGTCTCTGTCTCCCTCTCCCTTCCTCTTTCTGAAATCAACAAAGACATATTTTTTTAAAAAAAGATATATAAGTATCTGGGGAAAGTAACAGGAAGTACAAATCAAGTATTGTTGGCTTAAGTATATATGTACACGAGCTAAACCCTTCCCAGGAACTTTCAACTCAGTTTCTCTGTTCAATCTCCTTATAATTGTGTTTATGAATTTTACTCTGTCAGGACTGACGCTCTGTTTGGATCATTCCATGCTGGTTCCTGTTCATTAACAAATATTTTAGCACCTACCCTACAAAAGGCTCTTCAGGCGCTGGAGATTATAGCAGTGAACAAGGGACAAAAGTCCCCGTCCTTGTAGAGGGCTTCTCTTTGACGTGATTATCTAACACATGCTCCACTGGCATATACTTACTAAGTATCTTCTACATGCAAAGTTCTGGAGACAGAAAATTGAACTCCTGTCCCCAGTGGTGCTACCCACTTCTCTACTCAGCCTGTTCCCAAAAAGGAAAAACTGACACAAGGACATTGTACTTGACTAGCAAAGGATACGAGAGAGGAGTTATTAGGCAATTAATTGTCTTCTACTTGTCTGTTTTCCAGCCCACGTGCTCGCACATACCACCTCCTGATACTCAAAACAGCTACTCTCTGGCGTTTCAGAATAACTTTGGACAAGACGACAAGAACTCAGAGGGTTCTAGTCACTTACTAGGGTTAGGATCATCAGCAAGTTACTCGTGCTCTCTAAATCTGATTTCCTACAACTCTAAAAGGAGCAATCAGATATAACTCAGAAAAAGCCTGCTAAGTATTATAGAGGGTCACAAGGATCAGAATTTTTTTGTTAATGGCATTAATGAGAACCTACCGCCCACTGTGAAGCCATCTGAGAAGTCCAGCATAAATACAAGAAGTGGATTAAGTTCACAGTATGGCATGAAAAATGTAGATGGGAATGCAGTTTAAAGGACCTCAGAGAATCAGCTTGACTGGGGATCGAGCCCGCAACCCGGGCATGTGCCCTGACCAGGAATCGAACCTCGATCTCCTGGATCCCAGGTCGATATTCGATCACTGAGCTATGCCCAGCTGGGCTCATTGCAAATGTTTTTGCACAAGGTGAAATAAAATTTTGATTTTTTGAGGGGAGGGATGAAAAATGAAATGACAGTAATTGATTACTTGGCACCTGGGTTTTTGAGGGAGGCAGAAAGAGGAACTACTTAAATCACTTTTTACATGTTTCACCTGATTAATGTTAAAAATCCATTGCCTTTAATTTATGAGCAGTGATTTTTCTCCCTATCTTAGTACCTTGTCTTTAAAAGACTGCTTTATTGCTACTATCATTATATCTGTGACAAGATCACAGAAAGTAAAGGCAACTATTCAAAGTCTTGTAGCAACACAGTGGAGGGGAGATCAAATGACATACTTTTAAAGTTCAGTTGATGACTAATGAAAAGTTTCTTTATGAAGACTGTGGATCTAAGAGAATTCTAAAAGGAGGAATCCTCTTCCCCGACCCACTCAGAAATATATAAACATTTTTCAGAATATTGATGTTTGCCCTTAAAAGTAGAATCCATTAAATATTAATGGAATTAGTTGTTTTAATGAGTAATATCGATCAGCTATTACACCAGTTATATCAAATCTTTTCTCAGTGGGAAAAAAAATCTATGAGCCACAAATTAATTAAACTATATTAAAAGATAAAAGTACGACCAACATTTCTTGAAATCTTATTTCCCAACACTTCCTATCACATACACCAAAACACACTGATATCATAATAAATTAAAACAGAACTCATTTAGACAACTGAGGAGAGAGCTTGTCAGAAGTCATACAATCATTTTAAGAAAAACATTTTAATTAAAAAACTGATATTAATTTTACCAGTCTTTCCCAAAAGGGATCTCAAAGAACAATAGTATAAGGGGGAGGGAAAGTATTTCATGCTCAAATAAATTTGGGAAATGTGTTAAGCAAAGTTTTATTTTACTTGTTTCTTTGTTTTAAAATATTTTTAATTCAAAATGTCTCCAAGCCTTCAACAAGCCGAAGTGCCTTAATAATCTCCAAGCAGAGGATACACAATACTTTGTAAACATATCTCACCATAAATTTATTTTCTTCACCAAATGCCTGTTAAGATTTTATAGAGAACAATTTAGGAAATGGAGACCTAGAATCAAGAAAAAACAAAAAGGTAGTCCCTCTTTAACAAACTAGTTCCTTTGTGAGGTTTCACAAAGGACAACTTTGGCTACAACAGACATTCTAAAATTACTTTAAAG